ATGCCACTTGCTGCCACCTGCCAGGTTGTGACCACCCCATCCCCAGGCGCTCTTGGTTGGGAGGGGCCCACACAGGAGGCATTGCTTTAATGGGTTTCGGGGTGGGGCCTGAACTCGCAGTAGTGATGGGGCCTCCCCAGCCCCATCTCCAGGGGCTGCTAGCCAGTACCTGCATTAGCTTGCCCCCTTGCCTCCTGAGGGAAATCTTGGGTGGGAAATCCACCCACCCACCCTCAGTCCATGGAAGCAAGTTTCCCTGGCTGGAGACGGACCTTGACCAACGGCACTGTGGCGCTTTCTGCATCGTCAGCATGACTTTGACCCCTGGCGTCTGACTCAGTGTCCAGCATACCTGGGCCTCCTCTAGCAGCTTCTGCTAAGACTGGTTGGGCTGATGCTCTGGGCGGACCCCTGGGAAGGGCACAGATCGGAGCATGCTCAGTCGGTCAAGTCCCGCCCAGGAAAGGCTTCTAACTCCCAAAGCCTTGGTCTGTGAGCCCTACGTGTGACCAGTTCTCACTGCACTCCCATAGTCTAGCTAAGTACCTGCCATATAGCAGGTGCTCCATAAAATTAGCCAAATCAGTGGATTGGCTGTGAGGACCCAGGTGCCATCTCCAGCCCTTCAAGAGCTCTCCTGACCCAGAGCTTTCCCTGTCCCCACCCTCGAGACTCTTTTCCCTACTGTAACATGATGATGTGGGTTTATCTCTAGGACCCGATGCCACCCAGCCTGGCGAGGGGCTCTACCAGCCTCATTTTCAGAACAAAGAGGCTGGAGGAACAGAGGCCAGCTTTCTCTAAGAGACTTAAGAACAAGAGGCTGCAGTGAAGTGGAGGAGGACTCCTTACTTCTGTTCCCAGGCTACCTTTCCAGCAGTTTCACCAGCTTCAACACCCCCAGGAATCCGACTCTGCTCGTTAGGCCAGGGATCTGGCTTTTCTGCGTCCCTGTCCCGGCACATACCAAGTGAGCAAATGTGGTCTCCTCTTGTAACAACTTGCTACAATAAAACCCAGAAGTTTAGGATTGGTGATGATATTATCGGTCACAAAGTCCCTCCGTTGGAGACTTCGGAGCAGCAAAGACTTGTCTAAGGTCCCAGAGAGAGACGATGGAAGAGATTCAGTTTGAATGCATGAGCTGGTTTTCAGAGGTCAGCCCAAGCTTGGCTTGGTTGAAGAACCAGAGGGTCGCTGTTGGGAGCCACCCGTCACATACCAGAACCCCATACTGGCTCCAGCCAGCGCTCAATTAACTGCTGGGAGGGGCATGGTGCTCTCATCATGAAGTCATATCTATCGCAAAGATCCTGAGGCTACTTAACTGTGAAATAATTACATGTGCCTCAGAACTGGGAGATCAAGCATTTCTATCCCACATCCCATGAGATGCTCTTTAAAAAACAAAAGGTTTCTCTATAAACTGCAGGTGGGGTGGGGAGAGGCAAGATTTCTGAGCCAGGACACCATGTTTCAATTCCACCTTTTATGTTTTGGCTTCACCTCATCTCTGTGTCTATATCTCTCTATAGACATTAAAGAAGATTAAAAGAGGAACAATTGTCATCCATACCCATACTGCTGTAACTCAACTGTACCCACACGCATGTGTCTCCTTATTTAATTACCCAGGCAATACATAAACCCACTCTCCTCCCTGAAGTAGTATATCTTTCCAAACTTTTCTCTGGTTGAGATCTAAGTATTCATATGTAACTACATATTAGTGTGTGAATAAAACACATAAACCAGTAATGTTGATTTTAAACATTTAATGGGATCATATTATAGTATTGTCCTGGAACTTGCTTTGTTCTCCTTTTAACAGGTCTTAAAGATCTTCCCAGGATACTACATACAGAATGCCACATCCCTTCATTTAGCAGATCTCCAGTTTTCTGCAGTGTGGAGGTACCCTCATTTTTTTGTATCAGTCTTCCATTAAGGCACACTTAGATCATTTCCCATTTTTCAATATTACAAATAGTCGAGATTTTATATATATACTTAAGCTTGCTTCCTCTCTCAAGCGGCTGATGGGTCTTTTTATTTATGAGAGCAGACACCCTACTCAGGAATGTCAGTTCCACGGGGCAGAGGTTTCATCTGTGTTCTTCTCTGCCATGTGCCTGCTCAGCTGAAGTGCATGATAAGTATTTGTTGAATGACTACTTGATCAGCAAGTAGTGAACATGGCTGGAAATTATTTTAACAATCACCCGTATTTCCTCGTGTATAATGCTCACCCACATTTTCTGTGTGCATTACCTGTGGTATGTAATCATCGTACTCATGTATAATGCACTTCTGTATTTTTCCCTCAGGAATTTGGGCAAAAAAAAGTGCACATTATACATGGCAAAATATGGTAATGCTTGTTTAATGCCTGCACTTTACAAAGGAGTTTTTATTCCCTGCTTGCATTCTATCCTCAGAACAACTGTGTGAGGTTACCAGATCCTGCACTGTTATTACCCCTGACTTACTGACAAGAACTGCATCAGGAGGAAAAAACCAGGAGATTTTAATGTCTGGGCACATGAAATAATAGTTTCCTAGGAGTCCTTGAAGGCAAGGACGATAATTCACTAAATTCTTTAACCCTGTTAATTGCAGGTCAATTGCAAATTTCCTTACACATGGTAAATGCACAATACAGTTTGAATGAAGAAATGATCCCTAAATACTGTCAATATGTGACTTTAAGTGGTCCTATGCTTCTGGGGACACAGGGCCTCCCAACCCCTCCGCTTTCGAGACAGCAACCCAGCTGTCCTGAACCATCTTCACCATCTGGTGCCTGGCGTGGGGCAGCCTTTTCTCTCTTCTTCCGTGTCGAGGTTTTGCTTTTTTCTCTCTCATTACTGGGCAAAGTCACCTGTGACAATCTTTTCCCTAGGTTTATATAAACCTTCAAAGTCTTCTTTCCTTTTCTCTTTGGAATTGCAAATCTTGCCCACCTCTGCTCCTCTCAAATAATGTGAAGGTCAAAAACAAACAACCCAAATCATGGCTGAGAGGTCCAACGGCAATGCTCTGAGAGCAGTGAAAAGGGAAGGAGCATATTCTGAAGTGGAATCAGATCTGGGGCCTTTGACCTTCAACACGCCCCATGATCCCTCTGCAGGTCTTAATCTAATTCCTCATCCTATCAACTCTGCTTGCTTCAAAATGTGTTTTCCTTTGCCAATATGGCATTCACTTTTTTCTTAGTTTTATTTAATTATAACAACCTCTATCACAGCACTTATGAGGGGGGACCCAAAGCCCCCCAGAACTTACTTATAAAAAATTGCATATGTATTTGTACATGTGTAAACTTCGGTCACCTTTAAAGCACTCTCCATTCCATGCAATACACCTATCAAAACTTTTTTCCACTGCTCAAGACAGTTTTTGAACTTGTTGAGTTTGCTGCCTTTTAGTGCTTCTGCTATTTTTTGTATCACCTCTTCTTCCACATCAGCAAAAACAGTTCCCTTTGAGGACTTTTCTTATCCAGAGAAACAAAAATAGTTGCTCAGATGAGATTGGGTAAGGAGTCATGCCATTTTTGGTCAAAAACTGCTGACCATTCAGTGCTGTGTGGGCAGGTGCGCTCCTAAATCACCCATCATGAAATGGGCAAACGCATTAAAAGTTTTAAAAAAAAATTCACTGAAGCTGAATGCAGCCTCTCACAGCAGTGCCAGCTGGTACACAGATCCAGATGGGCTCCTAGAACAGTCACCTTTTGGGGAAAGTGTGTACCTCAAGGGGCCCACACTCCAGCAGATAATTTCATTTTGAGGGTTCCAATTGTATAAGATTTTATTGCACATATTTATTTAAAAGGTATTCTTCTAAATGGTGAGCTGCTTGAAGGAAAATATTATGTGATTTTTTTCATTTTTAAATCCCAAATGCCAACACAGTGCCTGACAGAAAGCTGGTATTTGTGTGTGGGGGGAGTGATGTAGATTTAGCTTTTCTCCCATTTTTTCCATGGTATTCGACCGCTATAATTCAATACACTTACGTTTCTGCCAAGCTTAAAATTCTGTATCTTATGAGTAGGCATTTAATAAACCTTTGGGAGGAGAAATCTGGAACCTTGACCAGTATTTAGAGTGTTGTTTTTATGAGGTACAGAGTCTTAGACGATGGCTAAAAAAGACACTTTTGGCTCTGGCTGGTGTTGCTCAGTGGGCTGCAGTGATCATGGGCTGCAGACCAAAGGGTCGCCAGTTCAGTCCCCAATCAGGGCACAGGCCTGGGTTGCAGGCCAGGTCCCCAGTGGGGGCCATGTGAGAGGCAACCGCACATTGGTGTTTCTCTCTTTCTCCCTCCTTTCTCCTCTCTCTAAAAATAAATAAATAAACTTTAAAAAGAGGAACTTTGGGAATATCATCTATTGAAAATTAAGACCTTTGATCTTCCTTCCTGACTCAAGTTCAGATCCTTGTTAGGCTCCAATGGACTCCCACCCCATCAGAAAACGCAGTCCATCAAAGGAAAGAGTCTGGTAGATGGGGGGCCTCTGCAGGGACTTAAGATTGCATTGCCCTTTGAAGGCCCCAGCCCCCTTGAATTTAACTGAAAAAGGGAGAGGCTGGTGTATGAGGATGGAGAAACCTGGGGTCCCTCTCTGTAAAGTTCTAGGTATTGTATGTGGCTTGTCTATTTTTCCTTCTCCTCCATCTCCCCAGTTAGGTCTTTCGCTATGATATTTTTAAAAGATTTTAGTTATTTATTTTTAGAGAGGGGAAGGGAGGAAGAAAGAGAGGGAGAAAAACATCAATGTGTAGTTGCCTCAAGAGCGCCCCTACTGGGGACCTAGCCTGCAACCCCAGGCATGTGCTCTGACTGGGAATTGAACTGGCTACCCCTTGGTTCTCAGTCTGGCACTCAATCCACTGAGCCACAGCAGCCAGGGCCTGTTGCTACAATATTTATCCAAGATTCTTTCTCTTTATTAAGATACAAAATTTTATAGTAAACTACGTAGGTAGGTCTTAAGTTCGATGAGTTTCGGCAATTGTATACATTTGTGTTACCAGCACCCAAATCGGGAAATAGAGCATTTTTAGCTCCACACAGAGTTCCCCAGTTCCTCTTTCCGGTCAACCCTCTCCCAGAGGCAACCACTGTTCTGAATTCTACATCCAGTTCCAAACTTCATGGAAACAGAATCACAACAGCATGCTTCTTCCCTTCATTGGCTAGAGCAACAATAAGCAAAATATGTAGACATAATCTGTTTTCTAAGGTGTCCAAAGTTAACATCCCCCAGTGTTTGACCGTGGTGGCCCCTGGCTAGTGGGGATTTAAATAATTGTTACCTTGTTCTTTTACAATTGGGTCTGATATAAAACCACATACACATAATTTTATAACCATGAGAAAAATAAAGCTTTTTCATGGAATGAGGTGACATGGCTCTAGTGGAGAGTGAACAAGTGAGGTTCAGAGGGGTGTGGGATGGAGCCCTGCCAAGGCGCTGGCTAGGGGCAAGGTCCTTGGCCCATCATCTCAAGGGCAAAGACGCCTTGAGGCATCTTCTGTCTGGGTTCTTGGTTATCCTTTTGGATATGGAAGCATTTGACCAAGGGGTTACTCCAACCTCCAGCTCTTCCCCTTGGACCTTAGCAAAGAAGAAACAGTGTCTAAAGCAAGCATTAAAATTCTATTAAGATCATGACAAAGTACATACACATATAATTGTAAACTCTTAGTCACACGTTTGAGTTTTCATGAGGTGTATTAGGCAAATGGTTATAGAGCAAACTATACAATTGCAGATAAAAAATACATATACTCTGTGACCTCTGAACATCATCTGAACACTGATGAGGGACAACTCCATCTACGCACCTTGCAACCCAGGTGGGTGCTTACATGGAGAAAGAATAAGTGTAAGTGAGGCAGAAATAAAGAGAAAGTTTTGACTCGTGTAGTAATATTTGCAGGAACACTTAAAACAAAGAGAAAACAACCTAGCAATTTCACAACAGAAGGCAAGGCCCAACTCGGTTGGTTAAATGGTCCCATATGTGGCGTCTGCAGAGCATGGAGGCTTCGAATGGGCCAGCCCGGGGCTGGTGCCAGGGCTCTGGGTGAGCTGGCTGGGCAGGGAGCAAGTTGTTTAACCTCACCGAGCCCGTTCTGTCTCTCTGAATTGGGGTAATGATGGCAACCCTCCCCTCACCGGGTTGGTGGCAGAGGTGACTGAAGTGAGGGGTGAGCTAGGCCTTTGAAAGCCACTCACACTACTTGTTTGCCGGTGGTTTACCATCCCTTCTGGGCCTGGAATGGATGTTCTGGAAGAAGGTGGCATCCAGACTCTATATCCCATGATTGTTGACTTTTGGGGACGGCTGTTATATCCCACGCTGTTGACTATTAACAGCAAAGTATTGTCTCTTTCTTTACCCTATGGGCCTCAACTTCTTCACTGGGGAAAAGGGGTGTTTTGATAGAAAATAAGAGATGGGGTGGGCCTGGGTGTTAGTGTCAGACAGACCTGGGTTGAATCCAGATCCCCACATTTACCAGCTGCGTGTGACCTTAGGTGAACCCCTTAACTTTGCAGAACCTCAGTTTTCTCATCTGGAAAAAGGACGTAGATGTACCTCAGTGAATTGCTGGGAAGAAAGAACTGAGACAGATCCTGAAATGGGTAATGAGCCCAGTCCCTGGGACAGGTGCCATCAGTGATAGAAATGGACCGTCTCATGCCAGATCAGGGGCACATGAACATCTTGTTCTCAAGACACCCAAGCAGTTCCTCCTTAAAACCAGGATCATAGGGGCTCGGAGCAGGGGGAAGAAGCATGGAACTCTGATGTTAGCACAGTAAGAACAAAGTTTTCCATCACACTGGGCCTGGGCAAGATGAATCACCTGGATGGAGACAGGCCAGATGTGCCAAAGTCGATTTGGGGGAGACGCACATCCCCACGGCTGGCACTGCGGTCCACTCTTCATCTGGAGGCCTCGGAGTCCTGTGTGTGCGGTTGCCTCCCCGTGCAGCCAGGACAGTAGACTGCGGCCACTGGGGAGGGAGAGGGGCGGGTTGTTTTACACTGAACAGTGTGAGCATGAGGGCAGTCTCCCACTTCGCCACCCCTGGCTCATCCTAGCAGACAGCGTGGGAGCCCCATCGGTGGGCAGGGCAGGGAGGGCACAGCCTGCTCTCTTCTTCCAAGTCCACCAAAACCTTTCCTCAAGGCTGAGGAAAGATCCCAGGCAGCCTTGGGGTCTCACTGAACCTGGGATTTCGCTGAAAGTGGGGAGCCCCAGTCTCTTCTCAAGTCTTTAGCAGAGGTTCACTGTTTTGTTTCACCCACGTTCCCCAGGGAGCCACTGCGGGAGGGGGGTGGGGGGGACATGGAGGTGGAGTGCTTTAAAGAAAGAAACAGCTCCCCCTCCCCCGAACCCGGGAGGGCTCTGCACCCTGGCGGTCTCTGTGCTCTCCTTGTCTTTGGCTGGTTGTCTCTGACCCCCCACCCCAATTTCCCTTCTGACTCCCCTGCCTCAGGGGAGATGAACGGCCACCTTCTGTTCATCTGGTTGTAAAGTCAGGTCATTTCTCATTTCTGATCCTTTATGGGCCGTACCTGACTTCTGATATTTTTTTCCCTCCCTTTTTTCCTCCATGAACTAACTACATGGTTCTCTGGTGCGGTTCTTGACTTTTAAAGCAGCGATAACGTGCGGATATCCGAGATCCCGATTGTATTTTCCTTGGCCCTCCCGGCCTCTGCTCTTAATGGGTGTTAGAAGCGGGCCGTGGCTGGGACCACCTGATCTGCAAGCACTCCAAGCCTCGCACTGCTTTCCCCCAGCGCGGGGTCGGAAGGGCGGCGGCCGGCTGCAGCAGGAAGCCGCCAGAGCCCGGAGCGCTGCGGCGCGCCCGGGTGGAGCGGAGGCCGGAGCCGGTCAGGGCGGCGTCTGGAGCTCAGAACCCGGGGTGAAAGGCCTCCGCTGCCTTCCCAGACGCCTCAGCGGAGCATATGCTGCACTCCTCAAATTCATTTTTAATTCATGACATCAGTTTAGGGACCGTCGGAGGCTCGAAACTGACTCTCTTCAAAACCAAAACAAGCAGCAAAGCGCCGGAGAGGCGAGGAGGAGGCGCCCGGTCCAGAACGTTGCCCCCTCTGTCCCCGGGGAACGGGCGTTTGGAAATCCACTTTCCAGAGGGGACCCGAGGTCCCTGACGCCCGAGTTGACATCGCCCCACCTTTCTCTGGTGCCGAAGTTGGACTCCAGGGTGTTTGTTATAAAGACGTCGCCGGATGTCAAAGTGCTTTCGATTAGGGCTTTATTTATAACGTTGCGTTAAAACGATCGAGTGTGTACTTGCAGGGAGATTAAAGGCCACCCAAATATTTTTCCAAACACATATAAAAGAAATATATGAACATATATACATATAACCAGAACTATATACAACTTAAAATACATTAAGTAATATAATAATATACTATAGGAATTAGATGTTAAATACATGTTAAGTAGTATATGACATGATGAAACCATATTATACATATTGTGTGTTAAATAATGGAGACTGGAATGAATATATATATATGTGTGTGTATATATATATATATATATATATATATATATATATATATTTAATGTATTATAGGTCACGCGTGCTGTAGGTCAGGATGGCCGAGTCTCAGCCCCGTCCTGGGCGCCTGGGAGGAAGCAGGGAGAGACACAACGGTTCCCCCCACCCCGCTGCTGCAGCAGCCCAGTCCTTGCCCCTTCCTAGGTCCCCACAGGCCCACGTGTCTTTGGGTGGATGTAAAGAGTGCAAAAGACCAGCTCTGAATGGGCGTTACCAGACGATCTGTTACAGAGGTCACACTCCAGTGGGGAGTGGGCACAAAATTCGTACATGACACCGGAGGGCATGTACGAATGCCCTCTTTCATTACAAACCCCAAGCATTTGGCGTTTGCTCCAGGAGCTTAAATCAAGCGTCTGTCTCAGACACGTAAGACAAGGAACCAACTTGAAGTGCCGTTTTCCAATACAGGCATTTAGAGGCACTTTGGAAATTGAAATGAATCTTTACATGCAAGACTGGAACGTTGCGGTGGCCCTTTAAAGCTGCGGTTAGAAAGGCAATTAAGAAACCCGAGGATGGGCTGCAAAGCAGCGATTCAAAGCAAAGCAACACGCACAGTTAGAAATTTTTTATTAACCGCGCGCACGCACGTAATGATAACTGCCGCGTGCTTTTACTCTTCTCTTGCTGGGGAAACAGGAAAAAAGACTGCACAGAGGAGTTACCCTAACGAATTACACGGTTTCAAGGGGGAAAACAGCTCAGGGGCCAACGTTGGCTTCACTGGCCACCTAAAGCAGTGTGTATGGGAATTGCTTTTTCTCCAGAGTTACCTAGGAGCAGAGCTGCAAACCAACCGTCTGGAAGACCGGGGTGCGCGTTAGCCGGCTCTTTTCCCTGTGAACGCGCGGAATTCCTCCGCAGAGCGGCTTCCGGACCCCAGACCTTCCTCCGGACCCCAGACCTTCCTCCGACCCCCAGTTTTCCGGTGGGAGTCCGCGCGCCGGCGGCGGGAAGCGCCTGGCTGCCAGGGCCCGCAGTCCGCGGCCCAGAGGCGTGCCGCCGCGCGAGCTGCTTTTATTTGCAGTCTCTTTAACTCCCCGTTTCGGCTTCTCTTCCCTTCCAGCGCCCTGCCGCGGAGTGTTAGACAAGCCCTGTCGTCTGTGGGCTCTCACCTCAGAGTCAATATTATCTCAGATGGGCACAATAGACTGGAATGAAAAGCTAATATTGAACCAATGAGGTCCCTGCCCGCGCTGCCGCGATGCCACCCTTTGTGGCGCAGCCCCGGCGAGCCGCCGACGGCCGGCTAAGCGGGGGGAGGCTGAGGTCCGGCCTCCAAGGGCCCCGCCAGGGGTGAGGGGGACACCGCGCGCAGCCTCGGAGGCCCAACCTGGCTTCGATCGCCTACAAGCTCCCGGAGGTCCCTTCGGGCCTCAGTCTCGGGCTCTCCTCCAGCCTCCAGAGGCTGGCCGAGAAGCCCAGGGCTCCGAGGGGCCGTGGGGGCAGCAGGGAGTGCGGCGTGTCCCACACGCAGATAAGGGAGCGGGGCCCGGCGTGTCCAAACCTCTGGGCCAGAGGCCCGGAATAGGAGTGTGGCGGGGGAGGGAGGGCAGCTGTGGACCCAGAACTGGAGGACTTTTTGCTGCTCGCCCTGGGAGGCAGCCTGGCCACCTTGGGATCCTCCATAATTAAAGGCCTCCAGGGCCGCAGTCGGCTTGCGGCTTGCGAGGGGGTCTCCGCGGGAGGGGCGGTCTGGGAACCCCTTCGAGAGCTCCCAGCACCTGTCCATGCCTCTGTCTCCCTAGCTCGTGGAAGGGTGGACGGTGCTAGGGATGTAGAGGTCGCCGGACGGAGGCCTTTGGGGCTGCGGCGCTCGCTTGGAGGGGAGCTCAGGCCACACCCCCGCTTTTTCGTCCGCTGACGCAGGCACTCTGTGGGCACCCCCGGAGGTTTCAGGGCCGCCGTGAGTCACCCACGAGAGAGACGCGAGGGTGTGGAGCGCACGGAGGCCGGGTCGCGATCGTCCAGCGCGGGGTTACCCGGCGCTGCCCTGTCTGTTCTTCAGCTCTCTGGCCGCCAAGAGGCCACTGGCGGCCCTCTAGCCCTGTACCCGGGCCGGAGTCCGAGAAAGGTTGCTGGAAAAGGAGAAAGGGGGCACGCGGGCAAGGCCTGAGTTCAGGAAAATGTGCTTGGAGGACAATGGTGGGCATGTGGGCTGGAAGCAAGCTGTAGTTAAACTGTAGGGACTCCTGCCTGGGCCTTGCCACGTCAGACGGTCTGGGTGTCCCGTCCACCTGCCAGGGCTCTTCGCCCTGTTTCCTCATTGACTTGAATGCAGGAGAACCAAGCAACCAAGGTGGGGGGTGGGCAGAGGGGAAGAGAGCGGGAGGAGGCAGAGGCAAGGCAGGGCTGTCCCAGGGGCCCTGGGGGAGTGACCACTGCATGCACCGCCCGGAAGTGAGAGTATTTGTGTAACCCGAGCCTCAGTGTTCTCATCTGGAGAATGGGTATCATAACCCTCTCCACACCAAATTATGAGGTTCCCTGCAACCATGGGTGTGAGCAAACATGCTTTTAAACACTGAAACTCGACGCGGGTGAGTGGAATTGTCTTCTCCATACCCTCCCCAGGTTTCATGGAGAGCTTCTTGTCCAAGATTAAAAAAAGCCTGTAGTTTCCTTCTTTCCTCACAAGGCCACAACCCCCTTTGTAAGCCCTGGCCCAGGCCCCCAGACTCCAGAAAATGGGGAGGTTCTAAAAGAAGTGACAATTTCCTGGAAGAGGGGCTGTTGGAACGCCAGCCTTTCAGCAGCCACTCCTGGCTTCCAAGGCAGGTTGCTGCTTATTCCCCAAGAAGCTCCTTAAGGGACTGGATCCCAAGTTACAAAGCCGGAGACTGGTAGCAGAGCAGTTTCAAACAAAAAGACTCGGGAGGAGGCAGCGGAGGTGCCCCCCCCCCCCCGCCCCGTGCAGGTCCTGCAGCCTGCTGGAGGCCACTGCCTCTGGGAGCACCCAGCAACAGTCTACGACGCCTGTGTGGCCCAAGGGAACTGCAGCTTCTGGGACTTTGCAGGGGAACGTGACGACCCGTACCAGGTGGGGGAGAGAGCAGGGGACACGGGAGTCTCCACCTTGCCCAGGCGGCTGCCAGAGCGAGAGCACCCATGTTTCTTAATTCCTGTGTCCCTGTCCACGTCCTGTCAGTCGGTCCGTTGTCCATCCTTGCTTGGCCTTAGACTTTTACTCGAAATCAGATGAGGGAGAAAGAGACGGGACCTCCTGGCTTTCAACAGTGAAGGAGGACATGCATTAAGGCAGCAGTCCCCAACCTTTTGGGCACCAGGAACTGGTTTCAGTTCTGAAAGACAATTTTTCCATGGACCAGGGGTCGGCAAGGTGGCGGGGATGGTTTCAGGATGATTCAAGTGCATGACATTCAAGCTCACCTCCTGCTGTGCAGCCCAGT